CACCCCCTCATATGTATTGTCTCCCTACATCAAGAGTAATGGCTGCTTCTTGCAGTTAATAATCTTAAATTAACACATAGTCTCTCCTTTGCACTCTTCCAGGCTTCCAAAATCTAACATTCCAGGTATTAAATTCCACTGAGGATTTCCTTCCTAAGTGGGCCCTGACTGATACAATGCTCAAGACCACGTGGGACAATTTGACCAATTCACAATTCTTGAAGGTCAACACAGTGCTCTAAGTTCATGTATTACGCCCAACATATATACCAGTTATTCACCTGTACTTGTTCATCCAACCATCTAATAGAAAGAAAAAGAAAATATCTCACAATATACCAGCGATAGTGAAAGAGAAACGGATAAATGGTCCCCGGCCCCAGGCTTCATTTCAACACACATTAGCTGAGTAACTTCCTGCTCCCAGCGAGCACACATACGAGGTGTGATCTGAAACTATGGTGAATGTTTAAGTAAAAAATCTATTACAGTAAAAGACATTACCATTAATCCCTCTCAAAATACTCCCCCTAGCTTCAATCACATTTATCCTATCATTCCTGCCACTTTCTGAAGCAGTTCTGGAAGTCCTCTTTTGTGACTGTCTTTAGTTGCGCTGTCATGGCTGCCTCGATGTCCTGAATAATTCAAAACGTTTCTCTTTCATGGTCATTTTGACTTTGGGGAAGAGCCAGAAGTCGCATGATGCCAGATCCAGTGAATAAGGTAGAAGAGGACACTTCATAATCTTTTTATTTGGCAGATATTGCTGTGCAAGAAGTGATGTGTGACAGGAAGCATTGTCATGATGGAGGATGAAGTAATTATACTCGCAAAAGAGGACTTCAGAACCTGTTCAGAAAGAGGCGAGAATGGTGGCATAAGTGTGTTCAAAGCAAGGGGGAGTATTTTGAGGGGGATTAATGGCAATGTGTCTTAAACTGTAATAAATATTTTTTTATTTAAACATACACTGTATTTCTTGATCACACTTCGTATGTTGTCAAAATTTGATCTCAGTATAACATTGAGAGTTTATCTATTTTATTGAAAGTTTAAAATTAAGGAAACTGAGGAATACAGAAGTTTAAAGTACTTGACAAATGGAAATTTCAGGGTCAAGTAACCAATCCTGGTTTTCATAAACTCAAGCCTAGTGCTAACACTATTATAGACACAAGGAGAGAAGTTTCATTGAACAAGTGAATGTAACATGGTAATTGACATAAGCATGATGAAAATACAAATAAGTTATCAATGATGCATAAAATCAAAATTCACTGAGGGAATCTGGTTTAGACACATAGATGATGGGTGAAAAAAAGGTCATTTCACCAAGAGCAAAAACACAACAAACAATGTAAACAGAGGTGGAAGTCCACTTATAAGTCACAGTAAGCATATGATCCACACGCATTGTAAAGCAAGCATGATGACAAGAAGTAAAAGGTAAAGTGAGAAAAAGGCCAAACTCAGAAATGCTGCCACTCTTACACTAGTTATTAACTGTATGCATACATTTAATATACATATATACACGCATGCACCCAGAGACAGATAGCAAGACAGAGCAACACAAGACAGAACGAATTAAATGCCACAAAGTAACCTAACTTTTTTGCACATGACATGTAATTCAGTTTTCCTAAGATTTCTGTGGAAGAATTACTATTAATGTCTCCATTTTTCAGGTCTAACAGTAACTGAAGTTCCAAAAACACTGGACACTGCAATGACAACAACAAAAAATAATAAAGGAAGCAAGAAATGAACAAGAAACAGGTTGTATATATACATCTGGAAATCTCATTCTGTGCATGAACTGGCACAGGTGTCCTTCACTGTAATGTAATAGAAATTCAATTTTGAAATCAATCATAGTTTCCAATAGATAAAATAGTGTGATTCTCGTGAGTTCTTCATTAAGCTTACAAAAGTTTTACTGCGAAGTAAATGTGTACAATTAACAGTCCATTACCCATACCCATTTAAAACAATTTAGATGAATAAAAGCAGAGGTGGGCTTCATATTTGAAATACACTTAACCCTACCCTTCTCAATTGCAAAGGCTCAAAGATAAGTGAAAAAAACGACTCCCTCATAATAAGCTACCACCTGGCTTTCTCTCCACTCCAACACTGCAGTCACCCATTCACCCCTCCACCATCTTCTCCACCTTGGGACCCTGAGTTTTGCTAAGAAAATATTCTCCAGGAAAATGCTCTGGATCCCACCACTTTTCTGAGGGCTTCCTTCACGTCCTTGTTCCTCAGGCTGTAGATCAGGGGGTTCAGCATGGGAATCACTACAGTATAGAACACCGAGGCCACCTTGTCAGTTTCTGTACTGTTGCCAGAACCAGGCCGGCAATAAATGAAAAGGATTGTTCCATGGAAGACAACGATTGCTGTGAGGTGGGAGGCACAGGTGGAAAAGGCTTTGCGCCTTCCCTCTGCAGAGCGCATCCTCAGGATGGTGATGACAATAAACATGTAGGAGGTGAGGATGATCACGATGGTGATGACCTCATTGGAAGTGGCCACAATGTATAGCAGTAGTTCGTTCATAGAGACATCAGAGCAGGCAAGAGATAAGAGTGGGGGCAGATCGCAAAAGAAGTGGTCAATCACATTGGATCTATAGGAGGGGATTTCAAGAGCTAAACACAAGTGAATCAGAGAACACACAATCCCACACAGGTAGCAGCCAGACACCAGCACCATGCGGAGTTTCTGGGACATGGAGACCATGTAGAGCAGCGGGCTGCAGATGGCCAAGAAGCGGTCATAGGCCATCACAGCCAGCAGGAAGACCTCAGTTACCACACACGCGCAAAACAAAAAGAATTGCACCATGCATCTCAGGAAGGAGATGGCTTTGTCTTCATTTAAGCTATTAGCTAGCATCTTTGGCACAATGATTGTGGAATAACAGAAGTCCACAAAGGACAGGTGGCTGAGGAAAAAGTACATAGGTGTGTGAAGTCGAGGGCTGACCCGAATCACCACAATCATGCCCAGGTTGCCCAAAACTGTGACTCCATAGATGAGAAGTAAGAGCAGGGAGAAGAACACCCTCAGCTCAAGGGCATCTGTTAACCCAAGAAGAATAAACTCTGTCATGGTGGTACAGTTCTCCTTGCCCATGTCTCTACTTTATCGGGGTTGGAGAAAAATATTAACAGTAACCCTCCATTATATGATCCCAAGTTTAGTTTTGACTGTCTCCTAAAAAAGACATGAGAATAAGTAGAATAGTTACTTTTTTCAGCAAATAGGGCTTATGAAGTTTAGGAAAAGTCCAAACATTTTAGCATACAAATACGTGGAGCTCTCAGTTTAATTCAGATCACACAAAAGCATTCACATATGTAACACCCTATGTGAGTCCTTAAACTACTACAGAATTTTGAGCCTTGAAATGAAGTTTTAGAAAGACATCAAATATTATTTAATTAGCCATTTTGTTTAATGAAATTCAAAACACTTTTTTCTTGCTACCTTTTTAGTTGGTACTGAAAATAATGGCATCCCAGGAAATAATTTTTTTAAATATATAATACCCTTCACTGTTTTCCACTGAGATGATGAGAAGTAGCTTACTTAAGATTGTTAACCCACAAGTGTTTGTTTTTTATTAATACATTTTAGATGAAGAAAGTTGCCTTTGTGCATTTTTTATAAAATTAACATCATGATTTTTTTCATTAGCTAGTTAATGTCAGCCATTATTCAGTGAATTGGTACTCTTGGATTCTAACTTCCCAAAACTAGGACTCTGAAGACTTATCATGACTTCACTGCTTTAAATCTACTTGAAGAACTAATCGAAGATGTGAATATGAAATTATTAACAAAAAATGTTTGCTGCCACATTGCAGCATTGTTTATAATAGTAAAACTCAGAAATAAAGTGTCAAACAAGAGAGAAATGGTCAAAGTATGGCACATAGATATTATGGAAAACTATACAACTATTAAAATGATCTTTCTGAAGAACTTTTAATGACCTGAGAAATGACTATGATAAAATGGCAAGTGAAAAAATAGTAAGCCAGATTGCACAGGTTGGATATTATATGTGTATACATAAGTTGAATTGTATATTAAATCCTCACAACACACATGAAACATAAATATTCTATTCTGACCACTTATCTTTTAAAAAAGCCTTGCAGAAACTTGCCTGCATTCTCACAAAACAAGCTTCCAGACCCCTTAAAATATCATTTGTGTTCATTTCCCAAAAAAGCCAGAGTGTAGTCCAACCAACCAACCTTTGGGACAGATATTGCCTCCCTGCTTCTGAGGATGCGATGGTGGAAAATGTTATGGGCTTTATGAGTTTTCTGTGTGTGTATCTCTGGGGCCCATGTTTGTTAAGCCTCCCAAAGCAATCACTGATCTCTGTGGGACAACAGCAAGATGTCAAGAAAACAGCACCATCTTGGGACTCCAACAATTAATGACTTCTCTGATTTATAAACAGGAGGAAAACTCTCTCAACTTGTTACATATTATTATAATGCAACACAATTATTTCAGAGCTCATGATGAATTGCAGAGCATTTTATGCTGCACCCAAACATTGCTCTGTGGGCCAGAGATCACACTGACATTATGGAATCTATGAATACATCTTACAGGTTTTACTTGTCTTATGTTTAAAAGCTCCTTCCTGAAGGGCATAGGGAGTGCAAGAACACCAGAGTTCTGCCAAATACAGGAAGGGGTGGGAATCATCAACCTTCTTTCTGAGAATACTAATTGCTCACATTTACTGACCACTTCCTATGTGCTAGGTACTGCTCTGAACACAATGATTTAGACAGTTCATCTTTATAAAAATACTTGTAAGTGAGGTCAGTAGTTATACACCTTTACAAATGAGGTGACTGGGGCATAGATGAGAGTACCTTGCCCAAAGTCACATGGAATAACTGATAGAATGACTCCATATGCTGCTTTTTGGACTGTGCTACCCATCTGTGTGCAGAAGAGCAGAGCTGCAGAATGATACCGGGATGGCATACTTCCTACTCAATGCCAGGGACCTCAGGGATCTCGCTCAGTTCTGCTCCTTCTCTGACAATATAACGTCTCTCTCAACACATAGTGTTGAAACCACTGTCTGTGGTTTGTGCCCTTGGAATACCAAGCATTTCAAAGATTCCATGCATGTAATTAGTCACAGGTAATCAGTTTCCAACTTCTCAACAAACTATAAAAGTTTTCCTAAAATTGACTCACCCAATAATTTTCTGAGTTTGAGGAGTATTTCTGGGTCTCAACATGAAATCAAACATATGTTAAATATTCTAAACTTAAACACTGTTGGTGGGAATGTAAATTGGTAAAGCCACTATGGAAAACAGTATGGAGGTTCCTCAAAAAGTTAAGAATTACCATATGACCCAGCAATCCCTGTCCTGGGTATCTACTTCAAAAATCTGAAAACATTGATCCGTAAAGATATATGTGCTCCAATGTTCATTGCAGCTTTATTTACAGAGGCCAAGACATAGAGACAACCAAAGTGTCCTTTGATAAGTGATTGAATAAAGAAGATTTGGCATATATACACAATGGAATACTCTGCCATAAGAAAAGATGAAATAATGCCATTTGGAACAACATGGATGGACCTTAAGATTATTATGCTAAGTGAAATAAGTCAGACAGAAAAAACCGACAACCATATGACTTCATTCATATGTGGGATCGAAAACTGAAGGCAACAAAGGAACAAGACAAGCAAATAAAGAAACAAAAACCCATAGACACAGACAACAATTTAGTGGTCACCAGAGGGTAAGAGGGAGAGAGAAGATGGTAGAAGATGGTAAAGGGGGTCAAATATATGGTGATGGGAGGAGAACTGACTCTGGGTGGTGAACACATAATGCAATATACAGATAATATATTATAGAATTGTACACTTGAAACCTAGGTAGTTTTGTTGACAATTGTCACCCCAACAAATTTTAATAAAAAAGAAAAAAATTCTAAACTTTTTAAGTGCATCATTTTAATGATTGCCTCTAAGTAGAAGAATAACAGATATGCTTAATTGTTATATAAGACTTGGGACGTTCTTTGTGGTAACCTTCTCAGAAATTAAGGAAGTGAGTGGTTCTAATGATTCTATAACAAGCCACTGCAAAACATATTCATTTAAAACAGCAACTACTTATTTCACGGGTCACTATCACATGAGTCAGTTAGGTAGTTCTGCTGCTCTGATCCTGACATGGCTGATCTTGGCCTGGTTTGCTTATGTGGAGGGTATCAGCTTGGCAGGTTGGATGATCTAAGATGGCTTCAAGTTCAAGTATGGTGGTTGGCTGGATGCCAGCTCATGTGCTGGGGGTGTGGGCTATCTTTCTCATTATCCAATAGGCTAGTCTGTGCTTGTTCACATGGCAGCTTTTTAAAGAGATTTTGTAAATTCCAAGAGATTGTAGAAAAGCCACAAGGCCTCTCAGGGGCATGAAAATGACACTACATCGCTTTAGTCCAAGCTAGTCACAGAAGCATCCTACATTCCAGGAGTGGAGAAACGGATTCCACCACTTGATCAGAGGAGGCGGGAAAGGGGCATGGATCCTGGGAGGACTGGAGAATATGGACCATATTATAATCCACCACACTGGGTAACAAATCCTTTCCAAAGATGTAATTTCCAAAATTTTGGCCTGCAACAAAATTGAAAGACAATCTAATTTTGTTTAGTGCATTATTTTTTTTTTAAATTTGATGAAAGACCATTCTGAGAAATTGGCACATAACTTGAATGGAGTTGAAAGAGTTGAGTGACATTACCACTACAGCATAATTTCTGATAGAGTTTCTATTCCCATTTTACCTTTAAAGTGACCAAATATTCTCATCTATTAAAAAATAGAAAAAGAAATGATATTGAACTCTCTTGCTCTCTATCATTAAGTGATATCTTTCCAGGAATATATTGAAATAAAATAAATCTGAACACATACTTATAATGTTTCTCATAAAAAGAACTATTTCCAAAAACATTTTCTATTTTGATTAGTTTATATTTTATACAAATTTTCAATGCAACTGTGTTTTTATTAGTGCTGTAATTATTATTGTACCATTACAAGTTTAACTTAATCGAGAAAGAAAAACTTTTGATATTGCCAAAAGTATTATGGTCACAAGAAATAAAAAGTATGAATGTGATTAATAAAATTTACAATGTTCAGTGGGGGAGTAGAATTGAATATGAGTTCAGGAGAAGGAAAGACACAAATCTGACTGTTTCAGATGTTCTTATTTATGTATCTTAAGTGAATTATGCTATGCAATGGGAAGTACATCTTTTGCTGCTATTTAAATTCATGATGAAATATTTTTATATATAGAATTAAATTCTTGGTATGAATACCTTCTCAAAGCTGAGAGTCACATGACCAAAAAATATGAAGATTATTAATGTAAGTCATGTCCTGTATAGAAGCAACAGAATCTACCATAAAAAATCTGAAATGTCACAACTTGAAAATGAAAAAAATATAACATTGTCTGCCATGTTTAGTGGAAAATATGCTTGCCAATGTGCCTGGGGACTTAAATGATGGCTTTAATTCTGTCAGTAATTGCTTTTACAACCTTGGCCAGATCACTTAAATAATATGGGCCATGGTTTCCACAGAATAAAAGCTAAATGGGTTGTATTAATATTACTTCTACTACAAAATGTGATTATCCTTGGTCCATGTCGAACAGAAGTAAAATAAAATTCTGTATTTTAGGGATTATCCATCATTGATTCAATTTAAGATTAATATAAATAATTTCCTAATTTCAAAGAAAATTACAAATTATATACATGCCAGATATGTAGTAAAACACATCAGACATCTAATACCTAAAACATTGCTGCTTCTTACATATTCTATCATCCCATATACAATGGTTATTAATCGATTCCTTATTAAATAATGCATATGAATGAAACATTTTAATAATGATGATCATAAATTCAAAATAATACAAAATTCCAAATAACTATATTGAGCCCCTATAAAACTATTCCCCAAGTTATATTTCTTTTTTACCAAAACACCTGGAAATTGATTTCTTCCATTATATTGATGATTTTAGTAGAGAGAAGAAGAAAGGTT